AGTAGGTCATCATGGAGCATTGAGCAGTGTTTGCAGAGAATTAGTCATATGTCATTCGCAGATAGCAAGACATCAAGCAAGAATGAATATCAGATTGCGGACCAACAGAATGATAGAGTGACTTTTTGATTTCTAGTAAACGTCTGAAAGTCTCAATCAATTTTGGCCAAAAACAAAAATAAACCAAAAGTTAACTTTCCTGTTTCAAAAACAATGCCGAAAGTGATCAAATTGTAAATTTCGGCGTCAACTAAAGCTAAATTTCAGTCGGCCTCTTATGAGAATCACAACTACTTCCTTCCAACAAAATTTCTAATGACAAACTAGAGATCTCTGTGAGAATCACAACTACTTCCATCAAACCAATTATCGAAACAATAGCGTCTCTAAAACAATGTCAAACATCTCTCTTATTTCATATTGCTGTCTTGTCTTTTTACTTTTTTAATGCAAAATTCAGGACCTGATGAAGTCCCTGTTACATAAATATTTTAACTAAATATTCTAAGATTTTTTAACCTGATGAAGCCCCTATTACATAAATATTTTAACTAAATATTGTTAGATTTATGAACCTGATGAAGTTCCTATTACATAAATATTGTAACTAAATACTCTAAGTTTTTTGCTAATTAGCCATCGTCATGGTTGGTGTCCTTATTATTGGCCAATACAACTCGTCTTCTTCCAATGTGGACCTTAGAAGCTAAAAGGTTGGACCTCCCTGTTACATACAATACTGGAACTTAATTATATCAAATGAAACTGAAAGAATAATGTAAAATTTGAGTAACTTAATGAGCGTCCAATTTTTAAAACTGGAGTTGTACAATCTCTGACCATCATGATTGTTCATCATTATTTTACCAACTCTTACATTTTGACAGGATATTCCCAATACGAGAGGAAGGAATGAACTGGCAAGCTCAACCTCTTCAGCTGCATGAAGCAGAAGTATGAATATGATAAATGATAGATCTTCTTAGTTTATATTACTCTTTGATAATTATTATCATGGCACACAAATAATTTAATAATATTAGGGGAAAAAATGGGAAAGAACCTTGCATTGTCTTTGTCATTATTCTTACACTTACAAGGAAAAAGAGTTTTAAAAAACTTCTTGTAATGCTTAATGCACTTCTTGTGATTCTCAATGCACGTCTTTCCATTTAATTCACTTCTTGAGTTTTATGCTTTCTTTTTGATAGATTGTAAAATATTGCTATAAATAAGAAGGCATATGTGTGATGCTCTATTGACTGATCTATTTTGTTGTTGTTGCTGATAGGCTATCAAGGGAGATGAAAGAGCAATGGAACGTGTCCTGCAATCTTATAAAATGATGTTAGACTTCTATGGGATGGAACTTGTTGATGAAGAAACAGGGGAGATCAAAAGGTCAAAGAATTATAAGGAATGTTTCCAAAACCTTACCAAGTGAGTGTTTTAAATCTAGTTTGATTTACAGCAATTTTAAAGGTGTGGGAAAAATCAGACAGCATATATCATCAGACTGTGTACGTCATCGGACAGTGTATGTCATCAGACAATGTTTGTCATCAGACAGTGAATATCATCAGACAGTGAATATCATCAGACAGTGTATGTGATCAGACAGGTTATGTCATCAGATAATGTATGGCATCAGACAGTGTATGTCATAGGAAATTGTATGTCATCAGAAAATGTATATCAAGCATTTGATACAACTAACTACTTTGTCAATTAATTTCGACAGTAAAATCAATTGTAATAAAATAATGCATTAATAAGCAAGTTCTGATAAGTACCCATCAGTCGTACATTACTAACTGTTACATAAGATAGTGGTGTTTCTAGATGAATTGTGTTTTTTGTTCTGTTTAGTTTTGACAATTTCAGCTTCTTGAAAAAAATAGGAATGAAAATTGCAATCAAATGTTTGTCTCATTGTGTTTGAAAAAAATTTCTGTGTTATAAACAGCTGACAAAATCTTTGTGTTTATATTTTTTCTGTTTTTGTTTTTTCTTTTCTGTATCAAAATAAATAAGGTTTTAAGATTGCTGATGATATGTTTATTGCCTGTCTTTGAAAATTACATTTTTACATATTCTTTTAGCCATACGCACAACTACCTGCGAATCACTCGCATTTTGAAGTCCCTTGGGGAGCTGGGATATGAGCACCTTAAGACGCCCTTTCTGGATTTTATATTGTCAGAAGCTTTAAAAAAGAATAGACTTTTAGAAAGGACCTTGACAAGCTGCAAGAACTATTGGATTGGAACAATCAAGGATGATGGAGACAGGGAAAGGTTGTACCAATTAATTGATGAACATGAATACAGGTAAAGCTAGTCCTAGGGGTCATTGATAGATGGAATGTTTAGATAATGGTCACATAAAAGCTCTAATGATGACTTCATAACTAATTCTGAATGTTCGGATACCTCTAATACTTCAACAGAGAGTCTCTTTAACAGCGACTGGACCACTTGGACTAGCAGAGAGATATGTTTTAGTTTTTTGTGTGAATGGGATTCATTTCCCTTGTGTAAAGTAAAAAAAAAATTAAATGCAGTTATTTCTTTCTTGGTTGCTAATGTTGAGCTTAAGACCACATGACAGTTTTGAATCAGCTTTCGTTATACTTAAACAGAGAAATAAAAATAGATTCAATATTTGACCATTTAATCTTAATCAGCTCAATTCTTTGAAAAAAATATGATTGTACATCTGAATATTTATAATTGTTTCACAGGCTCATGTATCATACAGGTTTATTTATCATTGGTGTGCTTCATATCTCCATCAATTTCATTAATCAGTAGTCCTGGTTACTATTTTGTTTATTCCATCAGATATGTTTAGAAAATAACATTAATTTTAAATCTTTTCCCCAAGTTCCTCATACCTGGTACCTCATTGACCCAAAATGCTTACAATCTATTCAAGGCAAATTAGTTCTTGGTATATCAGCTAATCATAATCACTCATTAAGAAACGCATTCCTTGTGAGACACCAATATAATATTCCTTGTGAGACACTAATATAATATTGTTCATAGCTGTTTGTTTTTTTGTATAAGAGAGGTTGTTTTTTCCCCTGCTTCCCATATTGTTCTCAGTGGCCACATAGATTGGCCTATTATTTGTGATAGTCCTGCTGATACTCTACAAGACTTTTAGATGGGATTTGTTTGGGGGTGGGGGGGGGGGTCCTGTGAGTTCAGAATAATGTTTTGGGGCAAATGTTAAAAGTTTTGTTTGAAAAAAGTGTTTTGCTTTATGGTAATAGCAATTGAACATGGTTTATGATGATAAAGTTGAACTTGGGAAAAGCTAACATACCACCTGAGGACATTAGCAACTAGTTTTCAGTTTTCACGTGCAAAATTTTGTATTGGCATGTCTGTTGATAACAAATTTCACTTTTTAAATTTACATTGGTTAACTAGAAGTTTCTTGATTTATTGATTTTAAGAAATCATTAAAACAAAATTCCTGGTTAACTAAATAGGTTTTTAATCTTTTAGTTCCGTTTGCATATGGCATAGGAGCCATTCATAGATGAAATCATGCTATTTGGGCTGACTTTTTACTGTTAAAAATTTGTCAAACAATACATCACCACAAATTCTTGGACCAACGCTGGGATGCATGGCAACATTTATGGATGACCCCCCCCCCCTTTATGCTTACAGCCCATATTGCCTGTTCACGGGACCTGCTGCAATCTTTTAGTTTAGAGCTTGTCAGAGAGATCTCGCTGTTGAACATCATTTATCCCGGTACAGTTTTAGTGGATCCCCTACTTGTGCTGTAGCCACAGATTGCAAGGGTAGATAGATTATGGAGAGCACTTACTGATTTGATCAAAGCTTGTCTTTCATGTAAATAGTGGTCAAACCAACATCACTATTTGTTTCCAATGAGCCCAAGATCTGTTGTTAAGGACAGCCAAATGATTTTTTATGTTCCCTTGTTGTGATGGTCTCTACATGTACTTATTAAATGTAGAAACTCTTGTATATACAGCAAATAATGACAATGAGGACATATTCATTGTTATAACTAAAGATCAGCTTCTTTTTTTTTTCCTTCTAGCGCTAATAATCTCACTGGCTTATTTCTTTTGATTCTGATGCTATCAAGTTGATTATTTTTATCATGTGTTTGGCTAAAGCCTTTCAATTTAATTACATTTATAGACTTACACTGTTTTAGTATTACCTGACACCATAACACTCATTTATTTAATACATGGTCTAGAATCATTTATTAAATTATATGTTGACATTCTTTAGGCTTCTTTTTTTTAAAACATTAATTGACCGCCATACATTTTGTTGAAGTGAAACTTGATGTCTGCAAAAAGTATTTATAACTTTAAATAAAAAATCTTTGTTTTTTTATCATAATAAAATATTTAAATCCTGTGATACTATCTTGTTCAGTTATTTGTCAAATCAATAATAGAAAAATGGAAAAAAATACAGGACGGGTCATTTCATTCTTTTTTATTGTTCACTATATTCACTTGACAGCAAAAAAAAAATCATTTGGAAAGCGCGAAACCAAAAGAAAAAGACAAATATACAAACAAGTAAATGGACCAATCAAGGAAGACATTAATATATTGTCCAATTTCGCACACAAAAATTGTCATGAAAAATTAGACACCAATATCTCTTATCTAATCTTATCTATCAGAAAGTCATATATAGAAGAAAATCCCTTAAAGGATATATTTTAGGGATTGTTCTTCATAGCAACTTTTTATTTTTTAAAATTATTTTTAAACCTATTAACCTTAGAATAAAAGTTCTGACATTTCTGGAAGTGGGAATGAGAAAGAAAAAAAAATGTTTTAATAATTAATAAACAATGTGTATAACTCAACAAGGTTGCTTTTTTTAAATGATGGAAAAAAAGACACAACTAATTTAACACATCAGCATTTTCTAATAAACAAATGTAAAACAACTGAAAATATTGTTAACACTTTATAACAAATAAAAACACAGGTTTTGAATGTGGAAGAATGTTTTCAATTTACCCATCCCAAAAAAAAAACAAAACAATTATGTGTAAACGTTTTGGAAGATCAGGAATGGGAATATGGCCAAAAAAAAGTGTATTTGGAACAATCAACATATGGGACATATGATCTTATGAGAAGCCTTGAACAAGTAACTGATGCACTGGGGAGGAGCGACTGGAGAGGAAAATCATTACAATGGAGGGAAACAGAGACAGATTGCCCACCAGATGTTTAGTATAAATGTGGTCACAAATGATGATCTAAAAATATATTTTAGATCACAAGAGACAAGTGCCCTACAGTTTTTGTTTGTACTGTGGGGATGAACATTTTTTATTTCTACCATGTATGACTTTGCTAGAGTTAAATGGCTATTGGAATGGATGAAATCATATTTCCTAATCTGGCCATCTTTGGATAAGACGCCATAGAAATGACTGCATGATTTTTACAGAAAAGTGTTAGTGAACCAAAACGAAGCAAATAAATACCAAACAAAATTTTTTCAAAGCAATTTAAAAACTCAAATTGAAAATACTATACATTAATAAAAACAAGAGGTAATACTGCAAAAGATTCCGTGCCTCTGTGCTAGGATAACATGTTGTGCTGTAACATTGTCTTTTCATTTCAAGACTACTCTTCTGCTAACTGAATTTTTATAAAATTGTTCCTAAAAACTTTGGAAATGAATTAGAAATAGCAAATTTTGCAGTGAGATTAAAAATGTATTATTCTTTAGAATTTGTAAACCTCATATTGTATTTTTTTTTATTGATGGGCTCATTTACATTGCTGAAATTAAAATAAATTTGTTGAGATGCTTTGGTTCATACCTGTAACTTGGGTCATGTTTGAGCGACTTTGAGCTTCAATGAATGCTATGTAGCTAAGACTAGAGCAAGCAAATTAAAAAAATCATAAGCATAAAAAAATCATAATGGTATTAGCAGCTATTGAAAATTGAACACTCTTTGGTTGTGAGTGAATGCAAAACTGAACACGGGGGAAATGAGAAAACAAAATAGATAAGTAAACTTAAAACTATTTACAATACCTTAAAAATATCATTCAGTTATAATCAAGTTTTTAGTTTTCTCAGGTAAGTACAATAAATCTTCATTTTCAGATCAAAGCAAAAAAATCATTACAAAGCGAAAAAAAAAAAAAAAAAAATTAAAAAATAAATAAATAAACTGAACATAATACAAAAAAACAAATAACAAAAAAAAATAAAAAAAAAAATAAGTTTTTAGTTTTCTCAAGTAAATAAAAAAAATCTTCATTTTCAAAAAAAAACAAAAAAAACATTAAAAAACGAAAAAAAAAAAAAAAAAAAATTAAAAATTAAATAAATCAACTGAACATAATGCCAATAACCATTTGGCAAAAAAATATACAACAAAACAGATTGTGGCAGGTGAATACTATCAATAGGAGATCTTATGAGTAAAATCATTGTGGAACACAAATGGTAAAGATAGGAAATGATATGTGTGGTTTGAAAAACAAAGGAAATCACTTTTATTTGTAAAAAAAATGACTGATTCCAGAATGTTTTTTTCATTTTATAAAAACATTCATTCTGCAGCTTGGAAAAAAAATTGAAAAAGTTTAGCTGTACTATTTTATTTCCATATATGTGGAAAAAGTGGTTGAAAACAGTGTACATATTCCTATAAATGCACCGGTAAATAAATAATTACTATGACATAAGTTTAGACTGCCATTTCCTATTTTATTTTATTTATTCACTTTAAGAATAAGTCCTAACATTGTCATTCTAATTTGATTTTAAGATAAGTCTTGTATTAAAAAAAAAAAAAAATTACTTAAAAAAAGTTTTGTCGAGTTCTCTGATGGAAAAGCCAAGAGAACATGTGCAAAGGTGGGATCAGATTTTGATTGAGTGAAACAAGAATAACCATTTATTTTGATTTTTAAAAAATACTTATCAGATTTATCCCTAAGCAGCACTGTTACATAAACCAACACTATAATATATTTTTCAATGGCTACAACATAAAATAAAAACAATTTGTTCTGAAATCTTGGAAATGTCTATTTTTCTTAAGTACATGCAAGAGTATTTGTTTCCTTAAAAACGATGGAAGGAATGCCACAGGTTTTGATTTCAGTTCTAGGAATTATTTTTGATACACAAAGTATGAATTATTAGTAAAAACAAAAGAAACAATTTTTAATCAAACAAATATCACGAAGAACTTAAATTACAAAATTATAATAAAATTGCAAAAGCATGACTTCTAATAGTTGCTGATGTTTGCAAAAACTCAAAAAACTTATATGTACAAAAAGTTACTCTAATTAATACTACACAGACAAAGCAGGATTTTGGCATATTTTTTTTTACAAAATGAAACCTCATGAAAATTATTTTAAAAATGCATGATTTGGGGGTCATTGCTTTCTCATACACATATATGTTCATTTATACAAAATTTTATGTTGTTGAATTTCGACATTTGTTTTTTTTTTCTCCTGTGGCATAATTAGTGTTATAAAGCACACTGATACAACACAACACTGAAGATATGCGATTGGTTCTTTACATTGATTTGACATCAAAAACAATTATAGCAATATAATTATTCATAAATTTCACAACTCTGGATATGAACTTTTAGAAGGGTTTGGGGCAGAGGAAATACATCATGAAGACCAAATAAAAGTAGTCATTCATCATAACATGAATTCAGCATTGTTTAAAACAAAAACATTAATATAATGTATAAGGTCAATTAAAAAAACAAACTTGCAATATGCATAAATGTATTGATAAGTAGGTCAATGTGCTATAAATAGTATTGGATATGCAGGGAGAAAGATACAAAACAGTCTTTCGTACATTATTAATACCAGGTCTCTCCAGTTTTATCAAAGTTTTAATGGTGGCATGATACACGTTAGAGGAGGAGTCCAGTAAATTTATTAAGTACTGTGATCTAACATAATCAGTCTCTGTCTCCACCAAATAGGCGATTCTCATAGAGGTATAAACTTTAAAAAATTAGAACCAAGAGTCTTTCTCTTACATATTGTCTAGGCATTGATTTTGCACAAAGGCAGTAGCTCTTCACAACCAAAGTCTTAAAAGGCAGTTCTGTCTCTATAGTCTGCTGGATGTATGCACAAATACAGTTTTTCAGAAAAAGAAATCTTTTCTTATGGAATATAATAAATTTCAAAAATTAATTATTTAAGTTACAAATATATTTTCTGTCCAAGTAGAAACATATTTATTTAAATATATCTTTATAAATAGACATTGTCACAACAAATGTTTATTATGTACAAGATTTTGGAATTTTAATGAACCAAGTTAACAATAATGGATACATCATCACTGATCAATTAAAAAAAAGCATAATGGGATATCTGGTGACTCAAAGTTAATATAATCCTTTTCATTTAATAGAGAAGTATGTTTGAGTGGAACATCAGACATGACTTTCTGCAAATGTTGCCCCCAAAAATATACTATACGTTAAATATTTAATAACCAGCTAAATAAATTAGCTATGATTTCTTTCTAAATTAAAATATGGAATTTACCCAATGTATTTCCATTTTATACTTTCATTACACATCATAACATCAGTGGATTTTCCAAAGGAACAATAGCTAAATTTCCTCTATTTCCAAAGAAGTTGTAAAAATGACTATAATTAAACAAATGATTTTCCTTTGATCAACTTGGATGTGTCGCCATAGAATAATGAGGGACAGGATTCATGTACAAGTGTAGAAGGACAGCAAAGGGGAGTCAAGAGGCATATCATTTCACAACCTTAAAGCTTCAAACATGGGACAGGGCAGGCACAAGATCATAGAGTCATTATAACATCCAGACAACCATTCATTATGTTTTTTGTCTTAAGGTTTAAACAGTGTTCATTAAGTTTAACAGAAATGCAATAACTTTAAAAATCACTGTATAGTCTAATTTGGTATTTAATTGTGTTGAATTGTGAACATTTTTTGGAAAATACAGGCCTTGTAAAAATAGCCATGATTATTCAAGATCTTACTATGACAAATTTAAGGTCAGTGAAATATTTTCAAAAGTAAACAATGTGTCAGTACAAAAGTACTATAGTATAGACAAATTCACCAACTTGATTTGCACAACAAAATATTTATCCATCTGAAAATTGGAGGAACAATATTTGTTAAAAGATTTTTCTTGTCTCTGTCTTAATTCTTATACTTAAAAAATACATACATTATATATATAGATATTTTATAAATTTATATATTATTCACTTATGTAAAATGGAACACAAAATTAATATTGTAAATATTGGAATGAGACAGGTCTAGAATGGAATCATTTTTGTTCCCATCAAAGCATTTTTATAGATAATAATAACAATAACAAAATGCAAACTAATCAAGAGAGTAAGGATCAGGCTACAACATCAATGCCATGGCATCAGTGTAAAGGTGGTATGTTCAGCAGTTAGGGGGGAGATGAAATTAGAATGGAAATTAATAAGTAGGTGGAAACAAAATTAAATATTCATGAAGATACCAAAGTGAAGCTAATATTGCAGGTGGGAGCGGTGTAACTGTACATTGCTTATTTTGTGGGCTGTAAAGGTTTCATTCATAGTTCATTTGCTATTCTTACATAGAAAAAAAAATGTAAAAAGGAAGATGGGGATGAAGAATACCTTAAAAAATTGATGTTGAACTTTTCTAATTGTAACAAAAATAATTACATTTTTTAGTAATAAATATGCTAAATTGAAATAAAAGATACCTATGAGCTGAATTTGTAACTTTAATCAGCCTTGAAATATTGCATGAAATGTATTAAAAAAAATATTTAAAAATTGCCTTGTTTAGAAAAAAAAAAATATTTTAGATATGAATTGAAACAAATTAATGAATGTTTGAAATAGATCAACAGGAGATTTAGCCCATATTGCTTTCAAGTGTGCTTTTTTTTTTAAAGTTTTCATTTTTATCCATGGACAAAAATAAACAACAACTAATTCTCATTAATGGCAATGAGTAACATAGCACACTATTTTTAAATGCTGTATTGTTTAAATGTATTGTAAAAACATTCATTTGTAAAGCAAAATAGGGAGGGGGGGGGTAAATAAGTAGAAGTAGCACATGTACACACCTTACAAATGTATATTTTCAGAAAAGATGGGTCAAACAAGGGGGAGGGGATACAAATGCTGCCTTGCAACATGCATGTAGATGTAAGTACATAGGTTTTCTTTTAAATATATCCTTTAATCCCCCAAAACAATTTTTGTTCATAAAAAATGAGGAAGAAAACTCAGCATTTAAGTGTAGGCCAGAGAAAAACAATAATCATAGCAATTGTAAACAGAATTTAAAAATCAGAGCATGGGATCCAAAATAAAAAAAATAAATTTTGGTCTCCTTTTTTTTTTTAGCAATGTTTGAACAACAGAAATGTACAACAGAATTTGGGATAGGAAGGAAAATGGAATATAATGAAATATTGCAGTTACTCAATCAAAACAAAAGAGCTTTACAAAAGAACCTTAGCAAGCTCATAAATAATCAGCTGTTGTAGCCAGCATTCAAGACAGGGGTCACATTTTAACAGGAATGTGTCAGATGTTTTTATCATCTCCTTTGACAACAAAACAAAATGACATAAAAGAAATGTATGCAGGAGTAAAGTAAGTACCAATGCAATTATTTAGACAACACCAAACAAATGGATTTTTACTGTGTGCTTGAAGATCTTTTATATATATATATAGTTATATATATATTTATACACACAATAATATATATATATATGTATATATTGTACAGTAAACCTTTAATGCTTGCGTAGGGACGAATTATTCTTCTGGAAAGCATCTTGATATTTAAGTCAGATATTACCCAATTGCAGGGACAAATTTAGTTGAGTCCTCTGTTTACAGATCAGATCAACCAAATTTGTCCCACAAATGAAGATTTCAGATTTCTTATTGACTAGCATAGCACTGCAGTACAGTATCCCAAGATGGGTGCGGACATGACCAACTATTAGAATATATATAATAATTCACAGAAACAATTCTTATAATATATTCATAGTTTCATAAATATACATTTAGATATAGAAGTTCTTTCATGCCTTAACCATTTGCATTCCGTTTCTCATGAAAATTCACTGTGGGGGAAAAAATGTTTACCATTTGTTCTTTTTTTTCTTATACAGAAAACATGCAGTTTGAAAAAAAATATGCGAACAAAATATCTATCTTTGGTTGCGCTCAGCAGCTTATTTAAACTAGTATCTTGTCTTTGTGACGGCTTTCAGCTAAACAAGGATGCAATAGTAAAAATTATTTTAGGTACTGGTACAGCAAAAATTTAATCTCTCTTCAAAATTAGAAAAAATAATTTAGTTTCAATTTAATTTTTAAGCAGATATTAAAAAACAAACTTGCATCCTTGTTGACTGGAGTCGCCAGGTCAGACCAGTTTTACAATCAATATGTGGGTCAAAGTTAGATTAATTATGTACCTATTAAATATTAGATGTGAGAAAGCTTATAATAAAATCCACTTTCATGCCATCAACTCATTAATGGAAATGAAATTTTAAAGCAGTTATCTCTTGAAAATTCATAAACATCTACCCATTGTGTCAGGAGAAGGCATCTGGATGTTTTAAATCTTAAATTGAAAATAAAAAGAGTGCATCTTGAATGTGAACGTCTTTGGTGTGTTTTCTTGAGGTTTGGGGGGGGGGAAAATGCTGGAAATAACATCAATCTTAAAGCTTCTTTGGCCTACCAGTGGGTGTAACACTTCCTGGAATAAGGCCGCTTCTCAGTTGCATGCTTGTAAAATTATGCAACAAAGCAGTGAGCCCTGTGAGTCATTGCTGTTCAATAAACACAAGATATTTCATAAGCTGTCTGTGCAAGGATTGTTCAGGTAATCTGCAATGTCCTTTGCTGTCCCTCTTTGCATAACAGAGTAAAGGTACTCATTGCCCACTGGCTCATTCTGCAAATCTTGACCAAACAACCTTTAAAATACAGCAGGAAATATAGCCCCAGTTGACAGATATTTTGTTCCCAGCAAATCGTTTGCTGTGGGAACTAGAGTCTTTAGGTCACTTTGCATAATTGCATCACTGTTTCAAGAAACATAACTTTATTTTTTAGGTTTTCATCTTCTTAGGTTAGTCTAGCACAAAATTTTCACAGCCAAACTCAATGGAAATTTCATTTAAGTGTTTCAAAGCTAAAACCTGCACACATTATGAGAAGTGAAATTTTCTCCAGCACAGTCTTTAGTGAGGCCATCCAATCAGTCTTTAGTGAGGCAGCCGATCAGTCTTAGTGAGGCCAGCCGATCAGTCTTAGTGTGCCATTACATCAAGCCTTGCACCTTGTTCAATTAAACTGTTGGTATTTTCTCCCCCTTGCTTTGAAAAAAATAGCATGTTTGTCTGTTTAGTATTACAAATATGCTGAGAGTTGCCTGGTCTGGCTTCTTGGAGGAACAAGAGCGTCGACAATGAATCATTCACTCCATATCATCATCGTGGGTGTTGCTCTCAATAACATCCTGCAGAAGCTCATCCACAGATTCAGATTCAGCACTGATTCCTTTTTCAGCAAAGTTCAAGTTAGGAACCAGAATACCCAACATTCTCACAACATTTAGTCGAAGATATTTTAGCTTGGCGGCATGAGCGCAGTTTTCTTTGCCCCCACAGGAGCTTAAATCGTGGGCGTGTGGGGGTTCTCTGCTTTCTAGAGGTGGGGATTTTTTGCGTAGGTCGATAGCTTCATCTGAATGACTTCGACTTGGAGACTTGGTTGTTGTTGTTGGAGCAGTAGGAGATGTGTGAGGTTCTTTCTTGATCTGCTGATGTTGTAGTAGTGGAAGGGGTGATTGGGACATGTGGGGCATGGAGCCATGAAGAAGATGAGGAGGGAGGTTGTGCTGGGAGGTCGGGGTGGAGGAAGAAGATGAGTTGTGAGAGAGGCCAGACAAGGGGGAGAAGCCAGAAGCACTTGGGAATCCAGGGGTGCCATGCGGAGGGAAGTGTGGGAAACCTGGGAAGAGGTGATGACCTCCAGAATGGTGGCCAGGATTACGAAGTGGGGGCAGCTCTCCAAACATGAGAGGAGACATCTGGTGGCCATTCATAAAAAAGGGAGGATGAGGTCCTGTCCCAGGGGTGCTGAACATAGAGTTGTTGGGGTTCGGAGTGGAGCAGCCTGAATTGGGTGTGGCTGGGGACTTGGCAGTTCCAGGCTGTGTGTTGTTGCTGCTGCTGTTGGGGGTGAGCGGTGGTGGCATGTTTCTTCCACCATTACTGTCTTGATGTTCTTGATGTTGTGGGGATAAATGCTGTTGTTGCTGCTGCTTCAGCTGCTGCTGTTGCTGGGCGTGTTCTGACTTGGCCATCTCAATGGCTTTTGTCACAAGGTCCATGTTGTTGTGAGGCATTGGTGGGGCTAGAAGTGGAGGGGGTGGCAGTTTGAAAATATTGTTGTCGTGCATGACTTGGGTGGAGAGATAGCCCATACCGCGGGGAGACCGGGTTCGCTTCTCTTTAATGTAGTAGGACATGATGCCGTCATGCTTGTTGATGATGTGGCTCTTCAGACTGTGACTTTGGCTGTACTGGACACCACAAGCACCACAGATATATGGCCGCTCACCTTATGATCAGTAGAAAAAAAATATTTATTAAAATACAATAATTTTGAGTTCACTTTTACCTCAATTAAATTATTTTTTTAAAAACTTAACCCCAAATAATTATAATTAAAATACTTAATTTTAATTACAGTACTCTTGACAAGTATTTTAAAACAATATTTTGTTCATAACATCAAAACATAAAGTTTCATTCATTTTTAATATATTATGAGCAATTGAAGTCCTAAATACTTAAACTGATACTCTGCTTACAGTTCCAATAATATGGCATATAAATGATGTCTCCTAGTTTAATCTTCTTATGAAGAGATTAATGTCACTGTTAAACCATGTGTAAAGCATGCCTATGTTTGTGACTACTTTTAAAGAGATCAGAAAATTGATTAAAATCTGATTTTGTTTCTTCGGAGTTGAATAACTGGGTTTTTAAAATCATACAACTTTAGTAGGTGACACTCTAAAATTATACAACTTTAGATGACACCTTTACTTTTATGTAGAAACCATACAGCTTTAGATGACATCCTTACCTGTGTGAATCCGTAAGTGTACGTATAGATTGCTTTGATGTTTGGTTGTGTACGGGCAGTGAGAGCACTTAAAGTACATGTCGTTGGTCTCCCTCCTCGGCTTGAGCGGACCTTTGCCCTGGTGAGTGTTCTCCACATGGTTCTCCAGGTTCTTTTGCCTTCTGAAAGTTCTCTCACAAAACTGGCACTTCAAGTAGTCCTTGTCTACGTTCTCCCCCATCTTACCCTCAAAAGGCATGAACTTCCTTGCTAGCGCATGATCCAAGGGACCGCCTGGGCTGAAAAGATAACAACATGGATGTCAAGTAAGGCAAGGGCAGAATATTAAAAACAACTTGTTGATTCATCTTGCAATGCCACACAATGTTTATGAAGAGAAAAATGAATGACATTTTAAAAACAATGATTAAAGCATATTTAAAAACAAAACAAATACATTAACTTCATGTCCATCTTACACATTGACATGAACTTGGACAAATTGATAATTATATTTTGTAATTAAAACTGATGATTCAAAATCTAGCACAGCTGTTTTTCAACTTTATTACAATTCAATATTTGATTTTTTGCAATCCTCAAGCAATAACTTTTATTCCAAATATCTGAATGTAAAAATAAATTTGAAAAATTGTGTTAACTTTTGCTTGAACTTAGTTTCTTTAAGCTGCCTTGAATCAACACAAAAATGGTATTTATAAATACTTGAGTAGAGTGTCAAATCTTGTGCTGCAATAAAATTAGTAAAACTGAAAAACAAAAGATTTGGGTTTATCAAAATTAATTAGACAAAGTTTGACAGCACAGAAAGCAGGAAAATAATTTTCTAGCATAAAGAGTGCAGAGCTGGAGCTTAGAGTGTGCAGGAGCTTAGAGTGTGCAGGAGCTTAGAGTGTGCAGGAGCTTAGAGTGTGCAGGAGCTTAGAGCAAGTAAAGTGTTGCCAACTTATTATATAATATTTAAGTTTATTTGAAATATCTGTCAATTTACCTACCTAAATGGATAGAGAGGCATATTGTTGAAGCCCGGAAACCAGGAGGGCATCTTGCCATTACCAAACATGTTTGGACTAAATGCCGTCTCACTGATGTTAGGCGCCATGGGATGCAGATGTTGCAGACCACCCCCTGATGAAATGAGAGGTGGGGGGTGCTTCATTTCTGCAGAAACTGTGACGATGATGGGCTTGACATCTGTCGATGTCGGAGAAGATGTGGAGGAGGGCGACGATGATGGTATGGATGATGCAATAGTCGTGTTGAAAAAAGATGGTGGGTTGGAAAGGGGGTAGCCTTGATCAGAAGATTCTTTGTAATCTCTACCAGAATCCCTCTTTTCAGGCTTGAACAGGAAGTGAACATCAGCAGGATCCATATCGTTAAAGCTGGAGTCTTTATCGCTGTCATAGTAATTTTTCATTTTCATTTCCTCCAGATCTTCATTCAGAAGAGTGACTTCGGACTCGACATCTTTCAGGATAGAACTGATGACATCAGGTTTCAGGCCATCTTCAAGACACCTGTCTCGCAGGCTGGATAGCATCTGTAACAGGTACTGCTCTCTCCTGGTCTTGGCTTCGGAAGGCGGCAGACAGTTGAACGTCTTCATGAACATGGCATGGGCATTGACCTTAACCTCGTGCATGAGATTGTAAATATTTATGGGCACATCCTTGAGGAATGAGTACTTGTCGGAGTCTGTCATACTATCAGACTCTGACCTCATTTCCATCTCTTCATCATCATCCTCAGGAATGCCATCAACGGCTTCGTGTCGAGACAATCGGTCCGCTGAGAAATGGTTTTCATCATCAACTTTATACCTGGGCTCACTGCTGATTCTTGCCTCTGATTTACCTGTACCGTCAACCTCATCATTTTCACTCTCCCTCAGTTTCTTCATCATCATTATCTCCTCATTCAAAATATCATCCTCAATCTCACTCTCCTCACTGTCATACTGCAGCTGCCTCACTCGTCTAATGTCCTCATTGGTGGGCTTCCGCCGTGACCTCCTCTCGTAGCTGGCATCCAGATTCATTGTATTTTGACCGAATCTGTCCGACGTTTGCATATTGGTGTCGGCTCGAGTGTTTTCAGATTCCTCAAAACTGGAGTTGAGCTGGGACTGTGGGGACGGGGAGCTGTCGGGGCGGTCACAATTCCGGGCAGTTGTCGACGCAACAGCTGTTGGAATGTCTTCCAAATCCTCGGGTTCTGAAAGGTTTTTTCTGTGGGTCGATGATGGCAAGTGATGGGATGGAGATGAAGAAGAGGCTGGGGTTTTCAGAGCACCATTACTCCAGGACTTGCAGTGTGATTCGGCAGAGTTCATCTGACTCGCTTGAAACTTTTCGGCCGCATCAAGGGTATCAAAAACAGTTTTCACTTGCAAGGAGGAAGGGGATGAACACCTGGTGGATGACAAGTTCCAGGATTTAGTGAGCACCATGGGAGAGGGTAGAGGGGATAACAAGATAGGCAACGACTTTTGAGAGGATGACGAGATGTGGTCCCAGGAGTTTGGGGTCATTGATGAGGAAACAACATGGGGTTCCTGTTTGATGAGGCTGTCAGCTGTGATGGTCTCCCCTTGTTTTGGAGAAACTGGCATGGACGAGTTGTGACTAGTGGCGTCGATGATCATGTTGGAGAGGGCTCTAGGGGCGAAAACACTGTGCAAAAGCGTGGATTCACGTGGGCTGCTGGTGGGGTCAGGAGAAGGGATCAAGGGCTTGATGTCCATCATACTGAGCTAACCAGTCTGGTCTCGGTGTCCCGGATGTTAGTCATTGTGCTGTGGAAGACAGAAGGGAACAGTCCCGTTAGGTCAATTTCACTCTCATGTAACATTTCACTCTCATGTAACAGTTTTAAAATATATCAGTTTTAATAAGAGGGTGTGGGGTACTTATGAGTTTTAAACATAGCAGGTCAAAGGTTACCTCAAACACAACCCTGTTACATAACAACACGCCCACTCTTGCTTAGCAAAACGACCAATTACTTCTAGATCTAAAATCAAATATTTGATCAAAAGATCGCTAAACTTGCCAACCTGTGGTTGATATCATACCCAAGTTAAACATGCCAATAAATGTTGAATATAATCGTTTCAGATACGACAACTTGGCCACATACCCATTCTCCTTTCTAGTATTCGACCCATTCACATGTTTAATGCCACACAATTATCAGTCGAAAACACCGATACCGTAATACTGACATGGCGCCTTGGTACATGTCTCAGCATTTCATACCTATGATATCTACTTGGTACATGTCTCAGCATTTCATACCTATGATATCTACTTGGTACATGTCTCAGCATTTCATACCTATGATATCTACTTGGTACATGTCTCAGCATTTCATACCTATGATATCTACATGTCGTATGTCTCAGCATCTCATACCTATGATATCTACATGTCGTATGTCTCAGCATCTCATACCTATGATATCTACTTGGTACATGTCTCAACATCTCATACCTATGATATCTACTTGGCACATGTCTCAACATCTCATACCTATGATATCTACTTGGCACATGTCTCAACATCTCATACCTATGATATCTACTCCTTGGTAGTTGGGGAAGACGCTTGTGTAGCTACCACAGGCTTGGTAGCGTCCACGCGTGTCCAGCATAAGCCAATTGATCAGGCTTGTTTGACGTGATGAAACTCCACTTACAAGTTGTACGAATAACACACACGTACACAAAAGGAGTTGAAGAAAGACACTAACATCCAATCTGACAGCGGTCAAACTCAGCCGATCCACGTGGAAAGAGAACGTTTGCCGTGTAGACTGGGTAAATATGAACTGGCCGCCGACACAAAGCGTGATCACGAGAAATTTCAGCTCTCCCAGGTCGAAACACAATATTCCAACCAGTTGTCAACGTATCGCTGCCAGTTGTCAACGTATCGCTGCCAGTTGTCAACGTATCGCTGCCAGTTGTCAACGTATCGCTGCCAGTTGTCAACGTAGCACTGACAGGTTGTTAAATGTGTGGTGCGTAAATCTTGCACCGACGGCGACCGACGTAGACAATTTCCCGGCGTTGTTTATCTCTGTTGATGAGCGGGAGTTACTGCCAGGCCACCGGTCCCAATCATACAGCGTCTCACGGTGGGGGGGGGGGCGGAATGTCCGACACACTGCACACCATTCTCTGGGGCACCAAGAGCGAGAACGGCGGCACCGTACATATGAAATAGGTAAACCTGGCTTTGTCAATCCAAAAGCACACACACCAGGGTCCACACACACACACTCACACCGGGTTGACCAATGGAACGGGACCCCCACGCTCAATGGAAGCTCTACGTTCCATTCACCCCCCCCTCCCCACACAATGGGTAAGATGTTTGCGACTGTGACGGACCTGGCCACTGTACAGCTTCCTCGAAGCGACAGTACGCGCCTTTGTAGTGCTAGACAGATCTATTGTAGTGTTATACCGAGCTATTGTAGCAGGGTTCCAGGGACAGCCAAGAGAGAAAAAAAACAGTATTATATCCCCCCCCCCACCCCTTTACATTTTTTAATGTACGATGTATCAGGTTTGATCCTCGAACTATTGTAGGGATGGGGCGAGCGAAGGCGACAGGGCGTGCCAAGTGCATAAATAATTTATGGGTAAGTTGTGTGCGTGAGAATGATAGATGAGTCGTAGATATTGGTGGATATTGGATTGGGCCTAGGCATGAACTAATGAGACCATGGGGCCTAGGCATGAGAATGAGACCATTGGGCCTAGGCATGAGAATGAGACCATTGGGCCTAGGCATGAACTATGAGACCATGATGCCTAGGCATGAGAATGAGACCATTGGGCCTAGGCATGAACTATGAGACTATTGGGCCTAGGCATGAGAATGAGACCATTGGGCCTAGGCATGAGAATGAGACCATACGTACCATTATAATTAAACAAATACTGAAAGTTTCCTCTGTAAGTCCCCACTATGTTAGTACCCACTATGTAAGTCCATACTCTGCAAGTCACCACTCTGTTATGTCCCCACTCTGTTCGTCCCCACTCTGTTATGTCCCCACTCTGTTATGGCCCCACTCTGTTATGGCCCCACTCTGTTATGGCCCCACTCTTTAAGTCCCCACTCTGTTAGTCACCACTCTGGATGAGAATTAACAGCTTTCGGAAATAAGAACAGCGGGAGACAACCCATTTGTTCACACCTGGTCGGTCGGGGCGAGAAGGCGTTGTCACCTGGACAACACGTGACCTAAGTTTAGCTAAGAGGACTTTCTGCCCTTCCTGTTTCTTCTCGCCGGCGAAACAATGAAAAGGGGGGAGGGGGACAAAAATATCATTCATCCCATTTGTATTCTTATGGCGTGAGAGCCCAAATTATGACCCCGAGCCCAAATTCTGACCCCATGGTGCTGAACATCACGGCCTAACGTTATAGGGATGGACAATAGCGATCACCAACGTCACAAAGGAGCAGTGAGTTGGGGAGGGGGCACCGTCTGAGCACCGGAAGTTGATGCTCAGATTTCACACATACATTTGGTACTATTAGCGGTAGCGGCGACCTATCATCCAGTCCAACAGTATTTCGTGGGAATCGTTTAGAAGGTGAGCTTCCCGTGTGGCCCGGGGGGGGGGGGGGCCTTGGGGCAACGGGGGAAATCCCCCTCTCGGGGGGGGGGAAGAGAGGATGGGCATCTAGGTATGGGAGACAAGGGACAGGTCAACGTACAGCTACATTTACATTTTACGGGTGTGAGAAACGGAAGTAGATTGTCCCATCCTGGTCACCGAGGTTATGGTGGAAGGCTTACTGGAATGATGCTTCATTGTCTTCCATAGTTGAAGTCAGTGACGTAGGAAGAAGAAAAAAAAAGGGGGCTGGGGGGGGGGGGCTTTATTTCTTTATAAGGAGGGGCGGAATTTTCCGCCAACTTCCGAGCTTTTTTCGAGGAAGTGGGCCACTTGTCCCGGGCGGCACTAACCCTGGCTACGCCACTGGATGACAGGTTACTCATTCCGCCAAGCGTATTTTGTATTATATAATAAGGGCTTCAAATGTCTAGGATTTATTAGATGAGGCTAATAGATGGATACAAATATCCATGGAAACAATGATCCAATGACAACATTTTAACAATAAAATAAACTATGATGAATAATATAAAAAAACTGAAATCCTTAATACGGTAAATCAATTACATACCAACTGTAACATTTTTGTCTTTGTACATTAAAGAAAAATAAAATGTTAAAAATTTCAACTGAACACGTGACAGGAACTGAGAGAAAACTATAAGAACAACCAAACAAATATTTAAAAAAAAAAATGTTGAAATAATTGTTAAAGGGGAGATAAGTGGTGCGACGTATTTAAGGAAACAAAATCAGGCCACACTTTAAATCCTTTATCGGAAACTCTCGAAAACAAAAGTTAAATCTCTTGTCTGCGTGGAGTAGATCAAAAATAGATGGCTCTTCAGCCGCGGAGAATTTTGGGAATGGCTTAATAGTCAGCAGGGGGGGCGCCATACGTTGGCCGTCTGATGCCATTGTTTCGTGTGGCCAGCTAAGCGGACTATGCCCTCCTGTCAATTCCTGGCATGCTTTGGTCGCACGAGCTTACTCTGGCCGCCATCTTCTTTGAACAATATGAAGAATGTTGATATAATTGAGTTTGGCCTTTTTATGTGTTATGGTGAAGAATCTACGTTTAACTTTAAGAGATTGTCAGTTGCATAAATTATTCAGTAGATGGAAAAAATAATACCCCTTCAGAGAGAATATGGTTTTGGGGGGATATCGGAGGTTGAGAATGGAGAAACAGATGGTCAGGATCAAAGAGGGAATGAAAATAAAATAGTGATTTGATGAAATCCCCAAAATAACAAGCAAATTATTAAGTTGCTATTCAGAGAACTCTTCCGTATTGATGAGCAACTTCAGAACCCACAACTAGGCTAATACTTAACAATAGCAAACAATAACAATTTGGCCATTAGAAATATCTCGCCCCGTTTATGTGGCTAGCCGTCTGAGAGAAACACACATAAATATATGGTTACATGTGGTGACTGCGGGAGAGGCAGAGAGTGTGGCATATTTCAGCACCAATAGACCCACATAAATATATGGGTACATGGGCTGACTGAGAGAGGGGCAGAGAGTATGGCATATTTCAGTAGCAATAACACCCCCACCCCACCCCACACCCACAACACCAACACTTCTCAGGTCATCTGCCCCACCCACGTAAACAAGATAAACAATCCCTAACATACACTGCATTTATAACATGCTCGTGTGCTGAGCAGGAGTTCAATGAACAGAAGTGTTATTACCGTT